TTTTGTTTTACTGTCCCATTCTCAATGGCTGAGAAAAAGATGCGATTTAGAGCAAAAAATAGTGCGATTCGTGAATAAATCGCACCATTGAGAGCCAATTAGATTGCAAGGATAACCAGTGATTTCAAAATGGATTTAATAAAGATTGATATACATGTAGATTCAATGATAATAAAGCTATGTGGTACAAAAAAAACAAGGAATATCGTAATTATACTTACGCTCAGAATGTGTTGGCTTGAATCCTGTGGGTCTGCACTAACGGATACCGAAAGCAAGGTCTGTACATTCAAGTCTCTTAGAACGGCACCCATTGTCTCTGCCACTGTCCACGACAAGTTCGTTCCACCCCCAGTCACTGTCCAGCCACCGTACTGCTTTATTAAGTTTTCCAAAGGTGAAATCCCTCGACGCTCAATGGCAGCAGTATCTACGCATGTATCGTAGATCTTGGCAGTTTTCACAATAGATGAGCTCTACAAGATACCAAAGACATTTAACCAGCCTCAGTTGAACAAAAGTATGCATTCAAGATGGTAATACGTTATCATCGAGAACAGTTTGCGGTCACAAACGTAATTATAATACTTCTAACCAGAATAAACAGACGTTCCTATTGAACTCATTATTTTTCCGTTGAGAACCGTCTCAGATTTGACACAAAAAATTCACTTACGGTACTGGCATTTGGCTGCTGTAGAGATCATTGGTCTGTCAATGCGACTGTGTTGTTTCTATCTCGGTTTTGAAGTTTCGCGCGCAATTATTAAACAACGAATCAAATACACCACACGGATCCTGGTGGAACTACGTCACCAGAAAAGAAATTTTTGAGTCAAATCATAGACGCTGCTCGTGTAAAGGAAGAATTGAGCTCCCGAGGAAACGTACTCCGTCAACTGAGGTCAACTTCATGCCATACCTGTGAATTGTTTGAAGCAGCAGTCTCCATAGCTCGTCTTAAAACCTCCATGTTGTCGTCGTTCACGATAGTGAAGCCACCAACATTACTCTGATTCACACCGAGATGATGGGTTTTGAAGAACCCTCCGCATGCGTAGGAATAAAAATCGTCACACGGATCCATAGTCTTGTTCAGCTGATTGGAAATAACTTGAAAGAAATTACGACAAAATTGTTGAGAAACCAGTAAATTGTTTCTACAAAAAGAATTGCGGGTTGATTTTTTAATCTCCCTTATCAATTTTATTACATTGTTGTTATTTCTTGTTTTGCTAAGATGCATGCTTTTACAATATTGTAAGAATTTAAGTTCATACAAAGAGTTCAGAGTTTAAATGGTTACTGCAAGAAATATGACTTAATTCTGGGGACAGGATGTGTAGCGATATTGCTCGACTGAATCTAAAGTTCCAGCAGAAAACGCGCAATTCAAACCAGTTTACTTTAAAAAACACTTCATAACAAACCTTCAGCAACTTGATAGCACTTTGCTGTATTACAAATGCGAGGTTGTGTCTCAGTTGGTGTAGGTAGTGTTGTGGGTAGCTCTGTGGGTGGCTTTGTTGGTCGCTCTGTGGGTTGCTTTGTGGGTCGCTCTATGGGTGGCTTTGTTGGTTGCTCTGTGGGTGGCGTTGTGGTGTTGTTCCAGTGGTGTTTTGGTGACGTTGTCATCGAAGTGGTTAAAATCGCCGACAGTCCTAGAAGTAAAAAACACTCTAAATCAAAACTTTAAGGCTACAGAAGTATTTTCAACGGGCCCGCAATAGCTTAAAATACTGAACTAGGTACACGCCTTGCTGAGTGTACCCAGGCAGTCGTTATAACGAGAAGCGCTATAATGCAATTGAACTAAGTGAAATTCAGTCACAGCGATGTGCTTGCGGAGGGGTATTGCAGATTTGCATTTGCAAGCTATTCTACCTTTGATTGCATTTCTTGGAATTGATAAATAGCTTATAACTCGTTTGCCGGCCTTTAGGGCGTGAAATGAGTCAAGGTCTTTATATCAACCTATAAACGTTTCAGTCTATCGTCGTTAGCCTTTTTTTCTTATACGTTTCTCGAGCAGGCAAGACAAGCGCGAGGGATTCACGCGAGGGGAGAAGCTTGCCTCGTGCCGCGTGCTTTTCTCGCGCTCAGAGAATACGCAAAAAAATAATGTCTGTTGAAAGGTGCCTAGTTGTTTGAATCAACTGTGGATACAAAGAACTCGTGAATTGTGATATTGCCACTGCTTCCATCTTACTATGCAAGACATTAAATCCTCATAATAAATCAGTTTCCCAGTAAAGAACCTTTGATCTTTAGATAGATATTTTTGTATTATTTTTTATGACTTTTACAAAAGACTTCAAATATTTTTTCGCCAGCATGTAATCCCCCCTGATGGAAACACCATAGCCCACCGGTTAGACTGTTATATGTGCATTAGCCTGCAATTTTATTTCTTATGGTAAAAGATCTTACCAATGAAAAGGGTGGAATGTGAGGAAATAGTAACTTTAAAAACAAGTTCTAATTTTGCACTTTATAATTTGAAATTCTTGTATTTCAACTTTTGGTTTATTGGTAGTAATAGACGTTCGTTGACTAGACAAATATTACCATTAAACAGGAACTCAACTTGATATAGTTTTTACAACAGTGGTGATACTACTATAAACATTCTAGTTCCCAGAGCCGCAATCCCTGAATCGAGAGTTGTGACTGGGACCACATTGTTCGTAACTGCGGTAAGGTTAGTTTCTTTCAATTGTTGTCCCTATTGTTTCAGTGCGTGATTCGCTGACTTTGTGTTTTGGTTCTAGCCGGAGCTCTCGATCCGCGGTCCTGGTCTGAAGCGTCGCATTTCTGGGTAGCAGAAGGTATTATAAACTACTAGCTACAACTTGATCTGACTTTGATAGCAATGGCAATAGTAATTTAAACTAATAAAAAAAACTTGACCTGACTAGACTATAATATGTAATGGTAATAGGACTGAGTGGAGTCCAATTCGGTCGGTTATCATAAGAGTGATAACAAAATCGAACGACCGCGCAGCGGGAGTCCGATTTTTTTATATCACGAGTATGATTACAGACCGAATTAGACGACACTAAGTCTTATTACCAATTAATCATAAAAATTAAAATTCTGAGAAAAGAAGAATAGCCAAGTTATGAAAGACAGAAAAAATTTGCATTAAAATACCTACAAAGGAGATGTAAACATCCTAAGGCCACCGCGCCTCCTACCGGCAATTAGGCGCCAAAAACACAAAAGCAGGCGCGCGTACTCACGCACGTAACTACAACTTTGAATGCGATTGGCCTATTGAATTGTCCGATAACAAACTGTCCAATAACAAACTGTTCGATAACAACTTGGCAAGTGAATTAATGGAAAATAGGAGTTTTTGAAACTAATCACAATTTAAGAAATTGTAATTTTTATGATTATAGCAGAAAAATGGACGATATAGGCTGAGCGTTGACAAATCACAGCTAATTTTTGAAACGCTTCCTCCGAAGACGCAGGCTCTTCACGGGGTCAAGAAATTGGAAAAGGAAATTAAAGAGGGTAGAAGACTTAAAACCAAACTGTTCCTTCATCCTGATATGTTTTCAATGTTCAAGGGAGAACACACACTGATTTCTACATATTATGTCAACTAGCTACCCAAACAGCGACAAGAAAAGTAAACGGGCAAGCAGTCACGAAAATGACTCTTCACTTTTTCCTGTTAGTATTCGCCGATTGTTCTTCATTTGTATTTAAAACACATTGCACGTGTAGGGAACACTGACATTATTTAATTTAATTGCTACAAGATTCTTATTCACTTGTTCTTAGATGATTTTTCCATCATATTGTATATACGTGTTGTTATTTGATATTAAAATTTCGCGCGCGAAGTGTGAAGACAATGAAGGCTTTCCTTTTTAAAAATTATATTAAAGAAAAAAAAAATATTGCCAAGAACTATCCCCAGTTTGGAAGATGACCGCAGAAAACACTTATTAAGTTATAAAATAACATGTTACAGCATAAAAATACTGTAACTGTAGTCAGGCATAGTAATAAAATCTTCAAAGTTGTTGTCTCTGACTTAAAAATCTTAAAATAGACGTTTCGGCTAAAATACTATAACCTTCTTCAGTGATGAAATGAATGTTAATAGCGTCTAAATGTAAATGAGATGTTTATAAGAATGTGAGGAACTCCCTAGGGATTAATTTAGCATTTTGTAAATGTCTGGAATATGCGCGTGGTCATTAATTGAGTTCGGTTCGCGAATGGAATGCCACGCTTCCAAGAACAATC